AAGGAAGCATTTTTTCCCACAAGATGGCATCTTTTTCCAAATCCCCAACAAACCCAACAAAATAGAGTCAAAATCCTGTTAGTTCAATTGGTAAAAATATTTCTATTGTACTAATTCAGTAATTTCACACCATTATTGAGGTTGCTAAACTACTGTGGGGCTGTGAAATCTCATCCCAATGTGCAGGGAGAGTAGTTTATAAAGGTTTCTTGAACTAATTCCTACAACAGTTGCAATTACCGTTATTCTCTGCACTTTCATACATGCTATTTTCATATTTATTCTCTACACTTTCTTTTTATTTTGATAGAAATATCATCATGAGTGATCCACAACAAGATACCAAAAAAAAGGAGGATATGAGCAATGGACAACCAAAGAAAGTGATGTACTGTTAGAACTCATGGTAGATGCCGCTGCTCGGGGATGGCGTGATAATAGTGGTATTTTTTCTAAGCAAACCGTGGAAGAGAGGATACTCCCTGAACTTAATAAAAGACTTGGGTGCCACAAGAACTATCTCAATTACCAAAGCCGATTGAAATGGTTTAAAAATAAATGGAACGCTTATTCAGAGCTTATGCGTTTTAGCTCTGGATTTGGGTTTGACTCTACTACAAAGATGTTCACGGCAACTGATGAAGTATGGGCAGATTACTTCAAGGTAAGTATATTAAATGACAAATTATTCTAATAAATGAATCTTTGAATAATGTAATGCAATAATATATTTGTTTTTATGTTATTATAGGCTCATCCAAAGCATAACAACAAATTGCGTTTTGGAACATTTCACGATTATGAGGACTTAGAAATCGCAATTGGAAATGGTGTAGCGGTTGGAAAAAATTCAATCGGATTAGGTAGTACAACTGATGCAAGAACATTAAGCGCGGGAGAAGGGAGAGATGTGCATATAGATGACCTTGATTATGACTTGGAAAATGATGCATTCATAAGCCAACCTCAAAGTGATCCACCTTTTCCATCCACATCACCGCTCCCATCTCCTAAAAGTCATGAGTTCCCCTTGCAAAAAACAACCCGGAACAAAATGAAAAGAAGTGCATATGAAGAAAGTGGCGTCATGGAAAGGCTAGATGAAATATCTACAAGTTTTAAAGGAATTTATAAGCTTCTAGAGAAAAGAGAAAGAGAGAAAGAATATACAATTTGGGATGCCATCAAGGATACTCCGGGCTTAGATGAGGATACCAAGTTTAAGGTGGTTGAGTTGCTTGATAACAAAGGAAAAAAAGATGTCTTCATGAAGATGTCTCTTGAAGAACGGCTATGTTGGATACGCCACAAGATGAGAGAATAAAATGAGAAGAT